GCATCTGTTTCTCAAACTAGACACTCTAATGTATTTGTCCTCTTGCTCAGTTGTGCACCGGGGCCTCCCACTCCTCTTTCTATTCTGGTTAGAGCCAGTTTGTGCTGTTCTGTGAAGGGAGTAGTACACAGCATTGTACGAGATCTTCAGTTTCTTGGCAATTTCTCGCATGGAATAGCCTTCATTTCTTAGGACACGAATAGACTGACGAGTTTCAGAAGAAAGTTCTTTGTTTCTGGCCATTTTGAGCCTGTAATCGAACCCACAATTGCTGATGCTCCAGATACTCAACTAGTCTCAAGAAGGTTGTATTGCTTCTTTAATCAGCACAACAGTTTTCAGCTGTGCTAACATAATTGCAAAAGGGTTTTCTAATGATCAATTAGCCTTTCAAAATTATAAACTTGGATTAGCAAACGTGCCATTGGAACTCAGGACTGATGGTTGCTGATAATGGGCCTCTGTACGCCTATGTAGATATTCCATTAAATATCAGCCATTTCCAGCTACAATAGCCATTTACAACATTAACAATGTCTACACTGTATTTCTGATCAATTTGATGTTATTTTAATGGACAAAAAAATGGCTTTTCTTTCGAAAACAAGGACATTTCTAAGTGACCCCAAACTTTTGAAAGGTAGTGTATGTCCGGATTTGCTCCCAGTTTGTTTACATTTGATGGTTAAGAATGAAAGTACTCTCTCAGAAAGCACACATGGCCACACAATGACCCAGTGAGTGAAAGAACACTGTTAATGTACAACTTGGAATCAAGCCTTCTTAGTCTTGTATTTGGAAATGTAATTACAATATGATAAAAGACTAAACAGATGAGACTTCGGGCAAATGCTCACCAATTCCCTCCGAAAATAGCTTTGCAAAAACAAATAGACAAGCAACTTACTTGACTGCTGACATTGTTGGACAAATATCCTAGAGTGGTCTCTACTTCCCTCTTGTGTTCAATGTGTTCTTTACGGTCTAAGCACCAGTTATTTTACAGTGAGGAAAAAACAATAAGTAGAAGACATGGTCAAATATAGAAAATAGTAAGTCATAAGATCTTTATTTGATGAAATATACATTTAATGCAAGATAAAGGGGAAAAGTTATTTTAGAAAATAAAGTTACTTTGAGACAGAATGTAACCAATATTTTTTATTATTATTGAAACAGTTGTACCGGCCTTCAGTTTGTTGTTGTAGTTGCTGTTTTCTTTTGTTTTGTCTTTATTTTATTTTATAAAATAGACAAATAACAGTATTACAAATAATTAGAATTGTTACATCATTCACAGGGTTACAGTCAATGTACATTTATACAGAAAACAAAACGTCCCAATGCAATCACAGTGGTTAGGCGGAGATTGGGGGACGGGGGACGGGGGGGGGGGACGGGGGGGGGGGGGGGGGGGTTGGGAGCGGAGTTGGGGTTTGGCAGACCAAGGATGGAGGACAAAAGTGAAAGAATGTGAAAAAGGTACTATAACGGTATAGAGGTACAGTAATAGTGCAGTTTTAACTTGGGACCAGCATAGGGAATGAGAGTTATTTTTTAACACCTAGAATGACAAATACTTAAATGTGGTCATATAGAGAGGGCACAACTATATTGACTTGAGGTTACAGTAGAAGCGTCCATTTTGGTTTATTTTGTTAGCAAATGGCACGCACTCAGAGATGGCAGGCTCTTTCTGAGTGTATTTGTTGACAGAAGCAAAAAATAAACAAATAAAGATTTGTATGATTTGACAGTCTTCCTTCATTCACAAATGCAGATCTTGTATAGTCCATTGCCTCCCCACTTGTTATGCTAGGCCTATAAAAACAAAGTAAAATTGTGTCTGGGGCTATCCTATATGATCAAATAACAAAGCTTCCAACACATTAATGCACATGCTGTACCTTGATGAGAAGCTATGCTAAACGACAGATAATAAATTATAAGATGAGGACAATGTATCTGTGAAGAACTGCAGAGGATAGTATTTGGAAGAACATATCCCTATTTATCGAAGTGGGGAGTGTCTTTTTCCCCCAGAAAAGCAGAGTTTGTTGGTTGGGTAGCAGTAGTATAACATTTTAATAACACTGTTGTCTCATTGAGGTGTCTCCTAATTAGTACCTTATTTATAACTATTAAATGCTATGTGAGATGCCCTATGGAATGACTGATCATGATTTATCCATGAAGTGCTGAGACAATGGAATCATGCAGACACTGTAGCACTCAAGGAGCAGAGGTTGCAACAGCCTGGTTTTACTTGTCTAGTATCTTTTGGCTGCTTAGAAAAACACTTTTAAAAAACATTTTAAACGTTTTCCTGCTGATCCCTGAACCTCAAGTACAGTACGTTATGGACGGAGTATCAATGTGTAAACTTGTTGTGATTTGTGCTGACACAATAGGAGACCCTACCTCTCAGTACAAAAAAACTGAAGGCCATATTTTTTTTTTATGACCTTTCATCCATTTCTTTAAAAAGTCCCCACTTTTCTATGTGACGATTCATAAACACGTGTTCTAACTTTTTAAATAGTAACAGCAACAGTATATACATGTCAATATGTCCACCGTGTACGACCCCAGATTACGTGACAATTCACAGCTCCATACTGTCAATGGTGATCATAGGTAGCAGTATAAGAACAAACAATAAGCAGTGTTCTGTGAAGTCTTTTAAATATCAGCAGGCTCCCTTTCTAATAATTTCCCACCTGTGGAGCTTCAGAGGCTGCCATTTTGTGCAAGTACATTATAGTACACCTGGCTGCATAACCTAAGGCAGCCATTTTGTATGCACCATAAAGGGGAGGACAAGTGCTTCTTCATGACAGGACCAAAGTACATTGGTATTCACATGAGATCGTTTAAACATAGCGGAGGGCAAAGGGAAAGAGTAATCTAAACTTTGCACACAACACATTTGTAATGGAAGAATTCATGGTAGCGCCCATCCTACTTAACCATTAAGGTGCACATAGAAACATTTAAAAAACAACTCAAAGATTGCATGTAGCAGAACTCCAAAAAACAGTGAAAATGTCCGACATGGTTCAGTGGCTATGGCAACCTGTGATTCCCAGAAGAGAGAGAAACAATGGAGAGCCCCTAGCCTTTTGGGGGCCCTAAACAAGATTTGGTTAGCTGACATGGGCTAATTGAGTGACTGTCAGTGACTGACAATACAGTGAGCTCCAAAAGTATTGGGACAGTGACACATTTTTTGTTGTTTTGGCTCTGTACTCCAACATTTTGGATTTAAAATCATACAATGACTCTGAGGTTAAAGTGCAGACTGTCAGCTTAAATTTGAGGGTATGTTTCATATGTTTCTAAACACTTCTACATTAACGTGGATGCTACCATGATTATGGATAGTCCTGAATGAATCGTGAATAATGATGAGTGAGAAAGTTACAGACGCACAAATATCATACCCCCAAGACATGCTAACCTCTCACCATTACATATAACATGGGAGGTTAGCATTTTTTGGAGGGGGATATATTTATGCTTCTGTAACTTTCTCACTCATCATTATTCACAATTCATTCAGGACTATCCATAATCATGGTAGCATCCACATTAATGTAGAAGTGTTTAGAAACATATTCGATTCTTATTTACAATAAAGTGACTCCAAAATTACACAATACATTATTTACCATTAATTTATATTGGGCACAAAATAATCTGAAACACAACCAAAGCAAACAGCAAATGCATCCAATAAGTTTGTAGAGTCACAAGCTTGATGTAGTCATTGCATGCTAGGAATATGGGACCAAATACTAAAATATTAATAAACAAAGAAGTGAATTTGTCCCAATACCTTTGGTCCCCTAAAATGGGGGGACTATGAACAAAAAGTGCTGTAATTTCTAAACGGTTAACCCGATATTGATGACAAATATCCTCAAATTAAATCTGACAGTCTGCATGTTAACCTCATAGTTATTGTATCATTTCAAATCCAAAGTGCTGGAGAACAGCGCTAAAACAACAACAAAAATGGTAAAACGTCCCAATACTTTTGGAGCTCACTGTAAGTGGAAAACTGCTGATGCAAAACCAAATTTCGAAATTGCACCTTGTGTAATCTACGTTTCTAACTCTCAACAGTAAGTTGAGACCCCGACTGAGACCCCTAGCGGCCACAGGGCCCTACGTGCAGCGCGTAGTCTGCAGACGGAGAGTCAAGTGCATCTGATATGTACAAGACAATGACATGCACAGTACATTACATTTATATTATGGTTATTTTGGGCTGTTGGAAGTAGTGTGTTCAAAGGTTTTTAAAAAACGTTCAAATTTTTTTTTCAAGAGATTGGAAGTACTCTAGGTGGCAAGCGGAAATATAATCACCATAATTTTCTATCTGTCAAAAGAGAGCATTATTCACAAGAACGCTGAGTCTGATGCTTCCAGAAGATGAGTCATTTCATTTTACATCCATAAAGTCTATGGAACTTTATGGGAGTCCGTTCAGAGTACTGGTCATATTGTTGGAGTCGCTGATCCCCTCAGAACCTCATTGTGAAAGATGAGAGTAAAATTCTATGAAGTCTGGTCCCAACCTACTCTTAAAAGCCCTTTTAAAGGGCAGTCTTGTTGATGAGTTTCAGTCTGGGGACTAGTAGAAATCATATCCAACCAATAGACTGTAAACAATATCCTTCTACAAACAGAGGGAGGGGCTGCAGCTCTGCACTCAACACAGACAGACTGCAGTTGGAGACCGGACACATTCTGGACACAGTCGTAGGCTCAGCACTAGAGACAGACTAAACATAAGAGGAGGCGGTGGTTGTGGACTGAGCACAGCTGCAGACTGACCAGACTTACCGCACAGTACGGCTGCAGACTGTTGACTGAACTCATGGGAGGATGGTCTAGAGAAAGGGGTCTGATGGGGGTGGGAGTCACAGTCTAACAGGGAGACCAGGCTGGGGGTCCGGTCCAGTCCGGTGTCCTCCCCGTCTAGAGGTCAGAGGTCAGACCTCCACAGAGGTGATCTGGTTCATCTGGGCCCGCATGGACTGGACACTGTTCAGGATCTTCTTCTGGTGGCCTACTAGCGTCACCCCTACTCGGAGGATGTCCCTGTGAAGAGAGAGAAAGCAATCAGCAACACAGCAGTCTAGGACACATTTAGTACAGTTTATGAGGCCAGATTTAGCACAGTTAGCACAGTCTAGAACACTTTTAACACAGTCTATGACACATTTAGCACAGTCTATGACACATTAAGATCAGTCTAAAACACATTCAACACAGTCTAGGACACATTTAGCAGGGGGAGGTTGTCTGGAGAGGTTAACTTACTCTGTGGTCATTTGTGAGACCACATCGAAGCTGGTGAACTCCTCATTGGCAAAGTTCTCCTTGTACTGGCCCATCTTGATGGCATCCAGCCACTCATCCACGGTGCTGAAGCTGGAGAAGTCAGGCGTACTGCGGCCTAGCAGAGGTAGGTGAACACTAGGAACAGGAGAGGAACCCAGTGAGAGCCCAAACAAATCCATTGAAAACCCATTGAGAACCCAAACAAATCCATTGAGAACCCAGTGACAACCCAAAGCAAACCAAAAAAGATAAGGAGAAAAGAGAAAGAAACAGTGAATCAAAGAGCCTCAGATGAAACAGTGCACCCCGGCCATCCTACAATCTAAACTAGATGCCCTCAATCTCACACAGGTTATCAAGGAACCTACCAGGTACAACCCTAAATCCGTAAACATGGGCACCCTCATAGATATCATCCTGACTAATTTGCCCTCTAAATACACCTCCGCTGTCTTCAACCAGGATCTCAGCGATCACTGCCTCATTGCCTGTGTCCGTAATGGGTCTGCGGTCAAACGACCACCCCTCATCACTGTCAAACGCTCCCTAAAACACTTCAGCGAGCAGGCCTTTCTAATTGACCTATGGGGGTGCCACAGGGTTCAATTCTCGGACCGACTCTATTCTCTGTGTATATCAATGATGTCGCTCTTGCTGCTGGTGACTCTCAGATCCACCTCTATGCAGACGACACCATTTTGTATACATCTGGCCCTTCCTTGGACACTGTGTTAACAAACCTCCAAACGAGCTTCAATGTCATACAACACTCCTTCCGTAGCCTCCAACTGCTCTTAAACGCTAGTAAATCTAAATGCATGCTCTTCAATCACCCACCCGCCCGACTAGAATCACTCGGCGGGTGGACAACTACAAATACCTAGGTGTCTGGTTAGACCGTAAACTCTCCTTCCAGACTCGCATTAAGCATCTCCAATCCAAAGTTAAATCTAGAATCGGCTTCCTATTTCGCAACAAAGCATCCTTCACTCATGCTGCCAAACATGCCCTCGTAAAACTGACTATCCTACCGATCCTTGACTTCGGCGATGTAATTTACAAAATAGCCTCCAACACTCTACTCAGCAAATTGGATGTAGTCTATCACAGTGCCATCCGTTTTGTCACCAAAGCCCCATATACTACCCACCATTGTGACCTGTACGCTCTCGTTGGCTGGCCCTCACTACATATTCGTCGCCAATCCCACTGGCTCCAGGTCATCTATAAATCTCTGCTAGGCAAATCCCTGCCTTATCTTAGCTCATTGGTCACCATAGCAACACCCACCCGTAGTTTGCGCTCCAGCAGGTATATCTCACTGGTCATCCCTAAAGCCAACACCTCCTTTGGCCGCCATTCCTTCCAGTTCTCTGCTGCTAATGACTGGAACGAACTGCAAAAATCTCTGAAGCTGGAGACTCTTATCTCCCTCACTAACTTTAAGCATCAGTTGTCAGAGCAGCTTACCGATCACTGCACCTGTACACAGCCCATCTGTAATTAGCCCACCCAACTACCTCATCCCCATATTGTTTTTTTATTTTGCTCATTTGCACCCCAGTATCTCTATTTGCACATCATCTTCTGCACATCTATCACTCCAGTGTTAATACTAAATTGTAATTATTTTGCACTATGGCCTATTTATTGCGTTACCTCCATAACTTACTACATTTGCACACACTGTATATAGATTTTCTATAGTGTTATTGACTTTATGTATTGTTTATCCCATGTGTAACTCTGTGTTGTTGTTGTTTTTATCGCACTGCTTTGCTTTATCTTGGCCAGGTCGCAGTTGTAAATGAGAACTTGTTCTCAACTGGCCTACCTGGTTAAATAAAGGTGAAATTAAAAATAAATTTAAAAAATGAGTCTGTCCTTTACAGCTTCCTTTCCTTGAGTCCTTTCCTTGGACTGGAGAGTCCACTAAAATTAGTGGTCGTCATTGAGGAAAGGAGATGAGGAAAGGATGGAAGCCATTTAAGATGACTGAGACATAGCCCGTGAGTGCCTTACCTTGATGACAGCGGCGTCATGGCCTTCAGACTGTTGGGATTGCGGATCATCTTGTCCAGGTTGTTGACAATCTGGCTGAACTTGGGCCGGTTGTTGCGGTCCTTCTGCCAGCAGTCCAGCATGAGCTGGTGCAGGGCACTAGGACAGTCCATGGGCGGGGGCAACCGGTAGTCCTGCTCTATGGCATTGATCACCTACAGGGCATTGGCACAGATTTATATGAAAATCAATAGCCTTGGCCTAAATTGTTTCTCTCCCCATGTGGTTAATACAGCCTGAAGTATAGTAAGACTGTCTCTCTCTCTGAATGTGTCTCACTGTCTCAATCGCTCCATCCCCCCTTTTCTCTCTGTTTTCTCCAAGTGACTGCAATAATCTGCTCTAGGAATAATATTGTAGGTGAAACGATGATGATGATGACTCCTCCTGGATACTCACATCTTGATTACTCATGTCCCAGTAGGGCCTCTCTCCGTATGACATCACCTCCCACATGACGATGCCGTAGCTCCACCCATCACTGGAGGAGGTGAACTTCCTGTACTGAATGGCTTCCGGGGCGGTCCATCGGATAGGGATCTTCCCTCCCTGTAAAGACAGACAAGTGTTCCATACCAATTCTCTACCCTTCAGCCAGGACTGTGCACTTGGTCACTCCCCTCATGCATTTAGAAGTATTGGATTGGTGCAAGTATGCCTGAAGGGAGTTACAATTTGGTAATTTAGCAGATCCTCTTCTCCAGAGTGATTTAGAGTCAGTTTCCACCATATTTCTTAAACCAGACCATTTCTTTTAAATCTATAAGAAGGAGTACTCAGTGCACAGTTCAGGAGAAGGGTAGAAAATCGGACTGCAGCCCGCAAATAAAGCATTGGTTGTGGGTGGATCTCAGTAGTCTCAAGAAGTGGCGTTGTTTCGTCGTCTTCTTCTGCACTGATCTGATAGCACTGGACAGGTAAAAGCAAATCCTTTGTTGAGACACTGATATTGCTTTCCTGTGTCCTATGCTTGCAAATCAATGGTGATGAAAGGAATGAGCCGAGGAGAGGAAGCCACTTTAGACTATTAGGATGCATCCTGCATGTATAATCTCAAACCTGATACATTTCCATACTAGCATACCACTTAGAATGCATGCCCAATACATTGCTTCATAATAAGTGGCATTCTAGTGTGTATATTGGAACCATAGAAATATTGTCTATTTCTATGATTGGAACAGAGCCATACTCACCAGGACACTGGTGTTTGTGGTGTCTAACTTGCCCAAAATACATTGCTTTATACTACATAGTATGGAAGTATGGATATTGGGACAGAGCCACACTCACCAGGGCACTGGTATAGGTGGGATCTGATGTGTCTTCCTCCAGAAAGCGTGAGAGCCCGAAGTCAGACACCTTACACACCAGGTTGCTATTGACCAGGATGTTGCGGGCAGCCAGGTCCCGGTGCACGTAGTTCATGTCATTTAGGTACTTCATGCCCGCCGCAATGCCACGTAGCATGCCCACCAGCTGGATCACCGTGAACTGCCCGTCATTTTGCTTTAAAAAAAAAACACTGAAACTTTATATTGCTATACTATGTTATGTTATACTATGTTATGCTATATTATGCAATGTTATGTTATGCTATGTTATGCTATATTATGCAATGTTATGCTATGCTATGTTATGCTATGCTATGTTATGCAATGCTATGCTATGCTACATTCTATGATATGTGTTCAGGCGTGCAGTACACATTCCAAAAAATTATGCTGGTTCTCATATTAGTTCCCCTAGTGTTGTTAGCCACATAAAATTGAGTGTCTGGCTGATCATCACTTGTATCTGTGAGCTCACCTGATCTAACTAAGCCCACTCTACACACCTCACACCTGGGCCAGCCCGTGAGAAACCCACCAGAGCTAATCAAAAACCAAAAAGCTATAAAGTGTAGATGTGGAGGAGAGACAGCCACTGTGTTCTTGAATCCATTGGGTTCTTGATGTTGAAAAGCAGTTGAAAAATCAGTATGGTTACTATGATATTTCATATGACCTACAATACTTCACATCTAAATATAATTTTGATTCTGTCCTATTTATTATCTCTGAAATTCACTCATGAGATTAGGCAGAGATCTAGCCCTTAGCTGCTCCTCTCCTAATCTCCTAATCTAGTCACCTTTCCATTTATTTGCACTGATCCAAAAGAGAAGACAGGTGAAAGCCACCTACTGTATTTTAACCTGATACATGTCTGGAAGAAGGAAGGGAAGGAAAAAAGGAGAGGAGATCTCTCCAGAGTATTGAGATGCTGAGGCCCACTGACCTACATATCTAGGATCTTAATTTGGGCCAGTTTGCTACAGGGGTTGCAACATTTTTTGTAAGGGAACATCCCCACTGGGCACAGACGTCAGCTCAACGTCTAGTTTTGATTTACATTTGGTTGAGTTGTCAACTAACGTGAATTCAATGTGAAATCAACCAAATCAAATCAAATGTTTATTTGTCACATGCGCTGAATACAACAGGTGTAGACCTTACGGTGAAATGCTTACTTACAAGCCCTTAACCAACAATGCAGTTCAAGAAATAGAGTTAAGAAAATATTTACTAAATAAACTAAAGTACTAAACATTTCACCATATCAATGGACTAGGTTAAAATGCTCTTACAATGAGGACTTTTTGCAAATCCAATTAGTTTTCCATGTTGATTCAATGTCATCACATTGATTTTTGGGGTTGAAATGCCCAGTGGGTCAAATCTGAAGTTTCAAAGTGGAAATTGCAAACTTCAGAAGCCTTTTTAAAACTCAAATACACTAGGAAACTTCTCCTGTAACAAGGTAATCAAATTAAGATCCTACATCGGTACTGACCCTGAGGAAGGAGTCCAGTGATCCGTTCTCCATGAACTCAGTAATGATCATGACGGGGGCGCTCTTGGTAACCACGCCCTCCAGGTGGATGATGTTGGGGTGGTCAAACTGACCCATGATGGATGCCTCAGATAGGAAGTCCCGCCTCTGGCACTCTGTGTAGCCCGTCTTCAGTGTCTTGATGGCCACCAGGATCTCTCTCTTCCCAGGGAGACGCAGGTTCCCGCTGCACACCTCCCCAAACTCTCCTGAACAATAACAGGTTCAGGTTTCAGATATACTGTCCATCAGCAAAGGACTCTGATACACCACTATAAGACTTATCCAAGTGCTATAACATGGGACAGTAACTTGGATATCTTAAATGTACTGTAAGAAAATCTTACAATATGTATTATTGGGTTTAATCCACACTGTACACTACCGGTCAAAGGTTTTAGAACACCTACTCATTCAAGGGTTTTTCTTTATTTTTACGATTTTCTACATTGTAGAATAATAGTGAAGACATCAAAACTATGAAATAACACATATGGAATCATGTAGTAACCAAAAAAGTGTTAAACAAATCAAAATATATTTTATATTTGAGATTCTTAAAATAGCCACCCTTTGCCTTGATGACAGCTTTGCACACTCTTGGCATTCTCTCAGCCAGCTTCACCTGGAATGCTTTTCCAACAGTCTTGAAGGAGTTCCCACATATGCTGAGCACTTGTTGGCTGCTTTTCCTTCACTCTGCGGTCCGACTCATCCCAAACCATCTCAATTTGGTTGAGGTCAGGGGATTGCGGAGGCCAGGTCATCTGATGCAGCACTCCATCACTCTCCTTCTTGGTAAAATAGCCCTTACACAGCCTGGAGGTGTGTTGGGTCATTGTCCTGTTGAAAAACAAATGATAGTCCCACTAAGCCCAAACCAGATGAGATGGCGTATCGCTGCAGAATGTTGTGCTAGCCATGCTGGTTAAGTGTGCCTTGGATTCTAAATAAATCACTGACAGTGTCACCAGCAAAGCACCCCCACACAATAACACCTCCTTCTCCATGCTTTACGGTGGGAAATACACATGCGGAGATCATCCGTTCACCCACACCGCGTCTCACAAAGACACGGCGGTTGGAACCAAAAATCTCCAATTTGGACTCCAGACCAAAGGACACATTCCCACCGGTCTAAAGTCCATTGCTCGTGTTTCTTGGCCCAAGCAAGTCTCTTCTTATTATTGCTGACCTTTAGTAGTGGTTCCTTTACAGCAATTCGACCATGAAGGCCTGATTCACACAGTCTCCTCTGAACAGTTGATGTTGAGATGTGTCTGTTACTTGAACTCTGCGAAGCATTTATTTGGGCTGCAATTTCTGAGGCTGGTAACTCTAATGAACTTATCCTCTGCAGCAGAGGTAACTCTGGGTCTTCCATTCCTGTGGCAGTCCTCATGAGGGACAGTTTCATCATAGCACTTGATGAAACTTTCAAAGTTCTTGAAATGTTCCATATTGACTGACCTTCATGTCTTAAAGTAATGATGGACTGTCGTTTCTCTTTGCTTATTTGAGCTGTTCTTGCCATAATATGGACTTGGTCTTTTACCAAATAGGGCTCTCTTCTGTATACCCCCCCTACCTTGTCACAACACAACTGATTGGCTCAAATGCATTAAGAAGGAAAGAAATTCCACAAATTAACTTTTAAGAAGGCACGCATGTTAATTGAAATGCATTCCAGGTGACTACCTCATGAAGCTGGTTGAGAGAATGCCAAGAGTGTGCAAAGCTGTCATCAAGGCAAAGTGTGGCTATTTGAAGAATCTCAAATATAAAATATATTTTGATTTGTTTAACACTTCTTTGGTTACTACATGATTCCATATGTGTTATTTCATAGTTTGATGTCTTCACTATTATTCTACAATGTAGAAAATAGTAAAAATAAAGAAAAACCCTTGAATGAGTAGGTGTTCTAGAACTTTTGACCGGTAGTGTAAATCAATATCAACTTTTATGGGACTGTTTCCCAGACACAGATTAAGCCTAGTCCTGGACTAAAAAGTGCTTTCAACTGAAAATCTTCATTGAGAATGCTTTTTAGTCCAGGACTAAGCTTAATCTGTGTTATAATGTATATGTTATAATGTATATAGGGTTTTCACCTTCACCGGTTGATTTTTTACCTGCGCCAATGACTTGCTCGATCTTGACACAGGAGGTGTCGATCTCTTTGGCAAACTCCCTCACTGCCTCGTTGGGGTCCTCATAAGTGAAGGGGTCAATATAGATCTTCATTCCTGGAGACACTTGGAAGGAGAAACAGAGAAAAAACAGAGGCTATGCATAATATAGAGCCTGGGGGTACGTATTGGCTACATACAACAGTAGCTAAAACCTTGCCTGGGCTTAGACCTGATACAGGTGGTTAGATACAGTAGTAACCCTTAACTCCCAGTATTTCACATCTAATCGTAATGTCACCACTGTCTCCAGGATGGTAGCGTTATTCCTTAACAAATGTTTCACTCCACTATTCAACACATTTCCCACGGATAGAAGGTTGTCTGTAGGAAGGAGAATTTATATCAATCAAAATTAATCCTAGTTTAAAAATCTATAATTACAATTGTAAAACATGTTACTCACTGTGGCCACTGGTGTAGTGCTGGACCTTGTCTGTGTATTCAGATTCTGGTCTCTCAGAGCTTCTTCGATTGCAGACGATGACCAATACGACCACAGCGATGATGAAGACCACACCTGCAGCAGCTGAGCCAATTATGAGGGGGAGCTTCTCCTGAAAGCTGGACTTGTACTCCTCTGCAAATACACAACCAAACAAACCCATTCCTCTTATTAACTTCTACAAGGTTGGCCTACTCTGTAATGTTGCACTTTTGGGACTATACCATATACCGGGCAAGATAATTCAAAAGTGTTTGAAAAACACTGGTTCGAATGGCATACCTTCAGTCATGGTCTGAAAGTACATCTTTCCGCTGAAGCGTCCGAATCCGGCCACGGTCCGAGCCCGCACCTGGAAGATGTATATAGCTCCGGGCTTCAGGCCACGGATGACTGCTGTGTTGGTCTGACTGCGCACCACCGATGAGTTCCACTCTGCCATGCTCTGGAACACACAGACACAGACACACACACAGACACACACATACACACTCAGGGTGTAAGACTGGATCTGCTCACTGTTTGAATTACAGCAGTAATACCTGTCAACTGACTTCACCTTATCATAGTACTGCAGCTCATAGTCCAGTATGAGGCCGTTGGGCTGGTCCGGTTGGGACCAGGAGAGAGTGATGCTGTCAGGGGTCCGGCTCACCTGGTGCATGATCGACACGGCCGATGGTGCTGATAGAGAGAGAGAGAGAGAGAGAGAGAGAGAGAGAGAGAGAGAGAGAGAGAGAGAGAGAGAGAGAGAGAGAGAGAGAGAGAGAGAGAGAGAGAGAGAGAGAGAGAGAGGGATAGAAGGGTTAGGGTTAAGGTTAGTGACATTACCACAACACCAGAACGAAGCTTTCAAAACCCAACTGGTAATCAAGAACAAGACTAATGATGCAGCAAGGAACAAAGAGCCAGGAACATCGGAGATGGTTTATTGAGTATTATTACAGTCACCCAGGTGATTTATTGAGTATTATTACAGTCACCCAGGTGGTTTATTGAGTATTATTACAGTCACCCAGGTGGTTTATTGAGTATTATTACAGTCACCCATTCACTGAAAATACTAATAGTAATAATGTATTTGTTTTCAGTCTGAGATATGAAATATTCACTCAGTAGGCAGACACACTCACACTCACACTCACACTCACACACACACACACACACACACACACACACACACACACACACACACACACACACACACACACACACACACACACACACACACACACACACACACACACAAGGCCTCTCCTAATGAGGACTTAATTAGGGCATGTTTATGTAACATTAGTGCTTTTGGTTATAGCCTGTAATTGCTGCCATGCAGGTCCCAGCAGCCCCAGAAAAACACTGGGGCTCATGGGAACCTGAGTTTGCTCTTTTCACAGTCCTATCCCAGACAGTAATTAGGACTGACAGCTAGTGCAGTGGAGAAAAGACTACAGTGTTAAGGGCAGAGAGTTGCAAGTGTTTAGCCTGACCCTAATAACAACATTGCTTAACACCCAGTCCATTTGAAACTTGAACCTCAACTAATAACGCTGTAAATCATGTCTGAATACTATACCCTTACCGGCCTGGTTGGTGGTGATGTTGACTGAGGAGTAGTGTGGCGAGTAGGGGCTCTGGTCGGAGACTCCATTGACCGCCTGGATCTCAAAGGTGTACTGTGTGTGGGCCAGCAGGTCAGTGATGTGGACGCTGGTCTCCGTCAGGCCCAGTTGGCGAGGGATGAACTGGACATTGTCCCCGCAGCGTGTACAGCCTCCCCGGCCCCCTCCACAGCTCTTACAGATGATGTTGTAGACCACGTCCTCGCGGCCGCCGCCATCACGTGGCGTGCTCCACTCCAACCTCAGGGACGTCTCGTTCACGATGGAGATTACGCTCTGGGGCGCGGAGGGGATGGCTGTCAGGGGAGATGGGGGAGATGAAGAAGAGTTTAGGGAAGGTCACTGATGATGAGGTTTATACTCCAGACAGTGGTCATCATCAAACCTGGTCCTGAGGAGCTACAGGGAGTGCAGCGTCAGATTCCAACACAACCCACACCCTGTACTATAGCTCTCCAGCATCAGGGTTGTTGACTGCTGGTTAACTCTGTAATAAATTAACTCTGTGTGGTTGGAGTAGTATACAGTAGGTTACAAAACTATAGTCTCCACACGTCAACATACTTCAATATTCGGACACTAATTTTTGTTTTTTATAAACAATACAAAACATACACATACAAATGACAACATCATACAAACATAAACTACATCACCCCTGCCCAGACCCACTAGCACACACCCCCATCTCCAGTGCCTGCATTTCTCTCCACCACATGGCCTGAAACTGCATTTTGTTTCTCTCCGTAGCCCACACACTTTCAATAATGAAATAATAAATCATTAGGTTTTTCCTTTGTGTTAATGATTGCGGATTGATAGATTTCCAAGTTTTTAGTATATGTTTTTTCAAGATGAGTGATGAAAAGAGAATCGTTCAACCCATCGGGTATCTCACTAGACCCCCATATGACATGTCTTAAAATATGCAGACAAACAGATTAAAAGTAAGGTTACATTGTTAATAGTTCTGACAGGCAACTTTCTAGCTCCGCCCACAACTTCCGGACTTTATTGCATTCCCAGAAAGCATGGATTATTGAGTCATTATTAGTTTTACACTTAAGACATGACTCTGCCGTTATGCTATAGAATTTGTGAATTTTGTCTCTTGTATAATACATTCTATACATTGGTCTATCCTGGATTAAGCGTACATTTTCGTTAACTGTAATTTTGTTAGTTATTGCTCCAACTTTCCCTCCATATTGTGCCAACATCAGTTATTTTTAAGTCTTGGTTCCAATAGTTTATATATATTTCTAAGAGATAGTCAGTTGGATATGCTCTCTACAAGGTTTTATAGTTCTTCCCTATCATATGAACATATTTTTCTGACTCAAATAAGATTCCCTCAAGGTTGCTCTGATGTCCAAAATATTTCAAATAGAAATGTTGTGATATTTAACTTTTATTCTGACACTAAATTCAAAGACTCCAAAGTATTTGCATGAGCTCTATTCAAGTCCATCAGGCTTCAGATCAACATTTCTATAGAAGGAAGAGAGAGCGGTTAAAAGAGCAGTGTGCTAGCTAACTAGCGTCCTGATGGAATCTGAGAGACACAAAGAATGCCCCTGCATGCTCATTTCTGCCTCTTCAATTAGCGAGAGACCGCTGAGGGCCACATCTCCATTGTGGCCCTGGCTACATCCCAAATGGCACCCTATTGCCTTTTTTGTGCACTACTTTTCCCCAGGGCCCATAGGGTGCCCATAGGGCTCTGGTTAAAAGTAGTGCACTATAAAAGCAATAGGGTGCTATTTGGGACACAAACCCATTTTCAAATTCAAAACAGCTGCCCCCTTCATAAGGGACAGGCTTATGCAAATCTCTCAGGCTATTTTCTCTGAGGTCCTTGTCGGACTGTTGCACCAATGGAAGAGAATGGAAGGGACATTCCAACAGTTCAGTGCTTTTACAAAAGAGGGCCACCACATGCCAGAATGAAACATAACCCTTGTTTGGCCCTTGGGCACCTAGAAGTATGCATCACTTTGGTATTTCTTGTACAAGTGGAGCTGGAGTGTTGATAAAAAAGTGAAAGTTGAATAGATTTGGCTTGAGGTTAGCACTTTTGTTTGTGCTCATTGCATTATGCACAAAATATATCAGAATCATTGTGTCTTTGCTAGGCAGGTTCTTTTTTCTATAGTGAATGACACATAAGGCCTACGTTACATTATTAGGGTTGAGGTGATGGATTCTGTTAGTAAATTCAAATAAAAAATGAAAACTCAGAAGAATTGATAATGGCCCATTATGTCCTGGGAGCATTTGTCAATTCATTATTTAAAATGTGAATTTTTATACTATTCTTATATACACAAAAAGCCTACTAAATAGACTGTTGTATGATAATCTCTACTGTGTCTTTCCTTAACACTGTGTAGTACCACCTATGGAGAGTGTGTGGTACTGTAAGGACTAGAAACCTACTGGTGCAGGGTATCTGCGGGGGATCCGAGTCGGTGCGGTAGTAGCCGTTGCGGCACACACAGTTGGTGGCCCCCTCGTTGGTGGTGCGACTGTTGATGGGACACTGGAGACACAGGTGGTCCCCCTGGGAAGACTTAAAGAACCCTGAGCCACACGCTGCATATGAGAGAGAGAAGGAGACGGGGACGGGGGGACGGGGGGGGGGGGGGGGAGACAGAGGGAGTTAGAGAGGTTATGAATTAACTTATTATACTGAAGAGTGACATAAAATGTAATACTCCAGACATTTTTCACATTGACAGCTTGAGAGAAAAAAGGGTACAGAGTCGATTGAAAGACAAATTCCCAGACATATAATAAAATATTGGTCTTGAAAGGCACAGACATAATACGTTTTGGCATGTCCTTCTACATATGGTTAATAAAATATAACTTCCAGGAGTCTGAGGTTTGTTGCTATTCAGGTTTTTGTCTCATGGCATTTGAAAATCTTGGAGAACAGAGTGAGGCAAAGCTTATTATGGAGGTCTGGAATTGAATGGCTATACTATAAAAGGCAAAAGGTGTATGATAGGGAGAGAGAGGGAGAGGGGAAGGTACGTGTAAGGGACAGTATAGGGGGTTATACATATTCTACAACTGTGTTGTAATAGGGTTTAAAGAGAGAGAAGAGGATCGGTACCAAATCCTCATATCATTACCGTAGGAGGCTACAACTCTACATCATATATTCTCCTTCATGATTGCCTACATAGAGAATGTCTCACTGTACACTTGTAGTTTCTATGTGTAGAACCCTTTGTTCCAAACAACACATACTGCTAACCAATATCCTACAAAAACCATGGAGTTTGTCTTCTAAAGCATGGGTAAGTTATGTGAAATTCCAAATCTGGCCGTCATACCATCATGGCCAGCTAATCAACCCCGGCTTCCAATTGACTCATTCATCCTCCCTCCTCTCCCCTGTAACTTTTCCCCAGATTGTTGCTGTAAATGATAATGTGTTCTCAGTCAATTTACCTGGTAAAATAATGGTAAAATAAAATACAAAATAAATGTGTAAAGGTTACTGCAGCCTCCAGCTTTGCAAGCTAATCCAATCAAGATGGTGTGAAAGTTATTAGATGCCTGGCTGGCACTTCCTCAACTTTCTGGGTACGTCCCAAATGGCACCCTATTCCCTATATAGTCCCCATAGGGCTCTAGTCAAAAGTAGTGCACTATAAAAGAATAGGGTGCTACTTAGGACGCAACTTCTGACTGTCTGACACTGGCAGAGACGTGGTAGTCTATCCCAGACCTCTTTGGGGTGCATTTAGCCAGTCTGTGTCATGACAGTGGGAACAAATATATACAGTAGTATATTTATTATTATTCTCTAGTATTGAAAGAGTGTTTGCCTCTTTTAAAACATTTATAATCTTGTTGAATTCATTTAGGTTTTGTCTTATTTCCCAAGAGGTCCAAACACTCCCTAACAAACGCATTGGGCACAGATGTCAGTTCAACTAACATTAATTCAACAGGAAATCAACAACACATTTCACCCTGTCATTGGATTTAGGTTTAAAGTTCGATAAAAAAATGACAAAATTCCCTTACGTTGATGACTTTTTCCAATCAATTTTCTAAGTTGATTCAACGTCATCACATTGAATTTTGTTGTTGAAATTATGTGGAAACAACGTTGATTCAACCAGTTTCTGCCCAGTGGGAGGTATCTCACATCACCCTGCTTTGAATAACTGTCCTGTCTTTCACTTCCACAATGAGAAGCTATAGGAATCCTAGGATGTCAAAGGACAGCCAGTCTGACAAGACAAAAGGAAGAGTCTGTTGGCAGAGGGACCCAGGGAACACCCATGGCTAGACCCAGATAGAGAGGAAGACTGAAGGGGGAGAGAAAGCAGAGGGGATTGACAGTTCTATGACAGAGAGTCATTCAATAAAGAAAGAAAGTTGCACACTCAAATATAGTATGGACCAATGTCATCCCAGCCCCTGGATCCTGGATCCAACCACCATAGAAATATAATTACTAGAATGGGTTGAAGTCAATGAGGTTGCAATCAAATTACAGTGGTCTGAGACGCTTTCCCATTCTACTCATTCTATTTCTATTAAATTATATTTCTACCACAACACCCCCCTCCAGAGACAAATGTGTTATGAATCTTACAGTACAGTAATGAATAGCATACTAAATGCTCAATAACAGCCATCATTAAATCTTGTGGAGAGCTATTGACTTATACCTGAAATGGGTCAGCTGGGGTTGTGGTGGAACATTGATTTTGTCTGTTAGAAATGGATGAGTGTACCGTATCACCAAGCATTCACAGCTCTCTATCAAATTAATTTCAGATACTGTAAAATACGGATAGAAGTGGAGGGCGCTCAACCAACGAGTTGAGGTGCAACCAAATTTTGTATCATCCTTGTTTCATTCACTTCTCACTCCCCCCCCCCACCCCCGCTGCTCTGTGGACATTCCCTCTGGGACATTCTAAGAATTTCACTGTACCCTGCAATTACAAATACCCTGTACATGTGACTAATAAACAAATAAACTCATCCAATCTAACAAAATAAAAATAAAGGAAAAGGTGCGATGCTCGCTCACCATTAAAAACATTATTTTATTTAAATCTGTAATCCTTAATGGTGAAACAGCCACGCCCATTTGCGATATTACAACAACAAATAAGTTACTGCAAACACCAAACTGTTTTTTCCCATGGCACAGCATTAGAAGAGCACAATATGTACTGCATTTGCAGTGGTGGGGTGGCCAGTGGCGCTGTTTCCCCTACTGCGGATTCCATCTTTAAGAAACTTTAAAAGCTTGACGTTTCGGCCTTCATCAGAACCATCATCAGGCCGAAATGTCAAGCTTTTAATAGTTGCTTAAATAAAATAATGTGTTTTTAATTGTAAAGTACTATCAAATAAAATGGTATTGCACAATAATAATTGTATAATGTGTCTGAATGGCTCGATCAGAACTAGGGCTGTTGCGGTCATTACAGCCAGTGATTGTCAATCAAATAACTGCTGGTCTCACAGTAACTGACCGTTCAATCAATCAATCAATTTTATTTTATATAGCCCTTCTTACATCAGCTAATATCTCGAAGTGCTGTACAGAAACCCAGCCTAAAACCCCAAACAGCTAGTAATGCAGGTGTAGAAGCACGGTGGCTAGGAAAAACTCCCTAGAAAGGCAAAAACCTAGGAAGAAACCTAGAGAGGAACCAGGCTATGAGGGGTGGCCAGTCCTCTTCTGGCTGTGCCGGGTGGAGATTATAACAGAACCATGCCAAGATGTTCAAAAATGTTCATAAGTGACAAGCATGGTCAAATAACAATCAGGAATAAATCTCAGTTGGCTTTTCATAGCCGATCATTAGAGTTTAAAACAGCAGGTCTGGGACAGGTAGGGGTTCCATAACCGCAGGCAGAACAGTTTAAACTGGAATAGCAGCAAGGCCAGGCGGACTGGGGACAGCAAGGAGTCACCACGGCCGGTAGTCCCGACGTATGGTCCTAGGGCTCAGGTCTCTCAGTTGGCTTTTCATAGCCGATCATTTAGAGTTGAAAACAGCAGGTCTGGGACAGGTAGGGGTTTCGTAGCCGCAGGCAGAACAGTTGAAACTGGAATAGCAGCAAGGCCAGGCGGACTGGGGACAGCAAGGTGTCATCATGCCCGGTAGTCCTGACGTATGGTCCTAGGGCTCAGGTTCTCAGAGAGAAAGAGAGAACGAGAGAATTAGAGAGAGCATACTTAAATTCACACAGGACACTGGATAAGACAGGAGAAGTACTCCAGGTATAACCAACTAACCCCAGCCCCCCGACACATAAACTACTGCAGCATAAATACTGGAGGCTGAGACAGGAGCGGTCCGGAGACACTGTGGCCCCATCCGAAGAAACCCCCGGACAGGGCCAAACAGGAAGGATATAACCCCACCCACTCCGCCAAAGCACAGCCCCCGCACCACTAGAGGGATATCCCCAACCACCAACTTACAATCCTGAGACAAGGCCGAGTATAGCCCACAGAGGTCTCCACCACAGCACAAACCAAGGGGGGGGCGCCAACCCAGACAGGAAGATCACGTCAGTAACTCAACCCACTCAAGTGACGCACCCCTCCCAGGGACGGCATGAAAGAGCACCAGCAAGCCAGTGACTCAGCCCCTGCAACAGGGTTAGAGGCAGAGAACCCCAGTGGAGAGGGGAACCGGCCCGGCAGAGACAGCAAGGGCCGTTAATTAACATAAACACATTTAGCATCTCCTGCCTACAAGCCACTGATGCTGACCTTTGGAACATCTACATTTTATAAAGTCTAATAAATCTATGTAATATAGCCTACACCATCACAATAAATCCATTATTTATTTTAGACAGGTCTAAAGAAACATGATATGAAGAAAATGTAGTCTATTTCAGAAGAACAGAATAGCATACTCTGAGTTGTCCTTATGTTAGGCCCTGATCTGACTATGCCATATGGCTGTGGGCTACACTAGCAGACAAGATTTGCTTAGAATTCCATGGCATTATTTTATATTATTTTATACTATGAAGAATACAATTGAACATAGAAAGGATATTTTCTCCAAACGATTTGAGGTATTGCGCACATGCGGCTATTGTGTGTTGAGCAGTTAACAAAGAAACAGGTACTGCTATATGCTTAACTTAGAGTTATTTAAGTAACTTTAGTTGTGATACAAATGTTGGGCTATATGTTTGATTTTTAATACATTCTAAGGCTGCAAGATGCGACTTTAATGATGATTTGAAAAAAGTCACATGAAAGGCATGAGCTCTGCTTTTTGTTTTTGCGCAGGCTGTACACACTTCATCAGTCTCTCATTCACAATTTGACAAGTATTTGATAATGCCTTGAATTTCCTGGCTGCATCCCCTTTGTGTGGCCATAATCCCCCCCTAAAAAAATCCATGCCTTTTGCGGCCAGTGGCCGTTGTGCCCTTGGGCTGAATATAATAATTATAATTTCCGAAGCACCTCACACTCACATGACTCTCCATCACCTCTCACTCACATGGCTCTCAGTCACATGATTGCATCTTTCTCACAGGCTACAAGTGAAGACCGACACATCCGGGACGCAACTGCGCGCGTCCTTATCCAATTCCGAGGTGCATATTGAAGATATTGGAAGAACTGTCCACATTTACTTTTCGTCAGCCAACAAGATTAGGCCTAACAAACAGTAAAATCACTAGCCTATGTCAATCTACTATCCCCCATAGTACAAAAGTTGACCTATTCTATTCTGGGCGAGAAATAAATATTCCAAACATAGTCTGGGACAGTTGTGGGATTCAATAGATCCCAAATTAATACAATCCCGAGTGGCGCAGTGGTCTAAGGCACTGCATCGCAGTGCTAGCTGTGCCACTAGAGATTCTGGTTCAAATCCAGGCTCTGTCGTAGCCGGCCGTGACCGGGAGACCCATGGGGCGGCGCACAATTGGCCCAGTGTCGTCCAGGGTAGGGGAGGGAATGGCCGGCAGGGGATGTAGCTCAGTTGGTAGAGCATGGCGTTTGCAACGCCAGGGTTGTGGGTTTGATAAAATAATGTATGTGCTAACTGTAAGTCGCTCTGGATAAGAGTGTCTGCTAAATGACTAAAATGTAAATGATAACAAACCCAGTTTTAAGCAATGAGCCTGATGCAACAGATGACAACGTTTAGCTTAAAATGTTGATAAACTATTAGGCTATTTCTTCACATTAGAGGGGGGGGGATCAATGTAAATAGTCCGGGTGGCCATTTGATTAGTTGTTCAGCAGTCTTATGGCTTGGGGGTAGAAGCTGTTAAGGAGCCTTTTGGACCTAGACTTGCGTATGCACCCTTTGTAAAGCAGATTAGTGTGCTTAATTTTAAGAAGTTACTTGGCCACTTTAGTTGTGATACAAACCTTATCAAAATGTATAGGCCTATGGGCTAGGCTACATGAGGTGCACGACTATGATTTGAAAAAGTCACACACAAAAAAACATGCACTGTTTGCCTTAAGCTGGGCATCATTCACAAGTGATATTATATAATTCACAAGTGATAGGCTAATATGGTCAACCATCACACTATCCTTGATTTAATATTGTCTTTACATATACTAAATAATACATGTGTGAAATGTGTTTTGATTAGAATGTACCATTATCATGCGCCTGTCTTGAAACAGGGGCAGCTGAAAAAAATACATGTCTATGCACTTAAATAGCGAATGGAGGATGCTTTTCCGTGGTTAATTTTCACGCCAGCCAGGTGGGCTATACTCCTGTTTTGAAGAGAAGTAATGTGCTTAATATTAGGAAAGTTGAGAAATAAATATAGTAGGCCTAGCCTATAGAAAGCTGATGGGATCCTCCTCTTTTTAATAGAGGCCATCACTCTGTTTTCTCATGCAATTGCATAGCCTATAGAACCCATGGGGCACAATTGGCCCAGCGTCGTCCAGGTAGGGGAGGGAATGGCTGGCAGTGATGTAGCTCAGTTGGTAGAGCATGGCATTTGCAACGCCAGGGTTGTGGGTTCGATTCCCACGGGGGGCTAGTATGAAAAAATAAAAATAAATAATGTATGCACTCACTAATTGTAAGTCGCTCTGGATAAGAGCATCTGCTAAATGACTAAAATGTAAAAAAATGTAAATGTTGAGCACCATCAGCTCATGGGCTCTCAAGTGTTTGATTAGATTTTCAATTACATTTGCATTGATGTCAGAGTGATTAGAGGGACAATAGAGTGCTGAGGACCAGGCAGTCAGCAAGTTTGGTAGGCTACTAATGACCGTCAGCAGCATCAGAGCTTGGAGAAGCCTAATTACCGTGACTAAACGGTCACGTGGAATTTGACTGCCGTCATGACTCGTGACCACCGGTTTGGCAGTAATACGGTCACCGTAACAGCCCTAAACAGAACCTTACTGCTCATCGAAGCACACACACAAAAAGCAGTTTCATATACGGTTGTGAATAGAGCACTTGTGATGGGTGATTTGAAGGAGTCAGGCGCAGGAGGGTAAATCACAGAATGACAGGATTTATTCTGGAATACAGAATATGCAGTAAAGCGTCAAAACAGTCCAGTGAGCAAAACAGGCACACTGTAACCAACAAGGCACACGGGGAAAATAACCTGGCGAATACAAAATACAAGGAGCTCCACCGAGCTTCACTATCCTCACAATAAACAATCATACACAAAGACAAGGGGGCAGAGGGAACACTTATACAGGTACTGATGAGGGGATATGAACCAGGTTTGTGTAATCAACAAGACAAAACAAATGGAATGATGAGATGAGAAGCGGCAGTGGCTAGAAGGCCGGTGACTATGAACGCTGAAGCCTGCCCGAACAAGGAGAGGAGGCAGCCTCGGAGGAAGTCGTGACAGTACCCACCCCCCTTGACAAGCAGCTCCAGCAGCGCGCCAACACCGGCCTCAGGGACCACCAGGAGGACGCGGAGCAGGGCGAGCCAGATGGCGACGGTGGAAATCCTGCAACAGGGAGGGATCGAGGATATCCCTCACCGGGACCCAGCACCGCTCCTCCAGATCGTACCCCTCCCACTACACGAGGTACTGAAGGCCCCCCACCCGACGCCTCGAATCCAGGATGGAACGGACGGAGTAAGCCGGGGCCCCCTCAATATCCAGAGGGGGTGGAGGGACCTCCCGCACCTCAGACTCCTGGAACGGACCAGCCACCACTGGCCTGAGGAGAGACATATAACGAGGGGTTAAGACGGTAATCTGAAGGGAGTAATAACCTATAAGTAACCTTGTTTATTCTTCGCAGGACTTTGAACGGCCCCACAAACTGCAGGCTCAGCTTCCGGCAAGGCAGGTGGAGGGGCAGATTCCGGGTCGAAAGTCAGACCTGATGACCCGGTACAAAGACCGGGGCCTCACTGTGGTGGCAGTCAGCGTTGACCTTCTGGCGACGCACGGCGCGTTGGAGGTGGACGTGAGCAGCTTTCCACATCTCCTCCGCGCACCTAAACCAGTCATCCACCGCAGGAGCCTCGGTCTGGCTCTGATGCCACGGTGCCAAAACCGGCTGATTACCTAAAACACATTGAAATGGCGTTAGGTTAGCAGAGGAGTGGCGGAGAAAGTTCTGGGCATATTCGGCCCATGGCAAGAACACCGACCACTCCCCCGTCCGGTCCTGGCAGTAGTTCCGCAGGAACCTACCCACATCCTGATTCACCCGTTCCACCTTCCCATTAGACTCGGGGCAAAAACCAGAGGTCAGGCTGACCGAGACCCCCAGACGTTCCATGAACGCCTTCAAGACCCTGGATGTGAACTGGGGACCCCGGTCAGACACTATGTCCTCTGGCACCCCGTAGTGCCGGAAGATGTGTGTAAACAGGGCCTCCGCAGTCTAAACAGGGCCTCTCCCGTGGGGAGACTGGGCAGAGGAAGGAGGCGGCAGGCTTTGGAAAAGCGGTCCACAACGACCAGGATGGTGGTGTTACCTTGAGAGAGGGGAAGATCAGTAAGGAAGTCAATACACAAGTGTGACCTTGGCCGTTGTGGAACTGGTAAGAGCTGTAACTTACCCGCTGGGAGGTGCCTAGGTGCCTTACTCTGTGCGCACACCGAGCAGGAGGAGACATATACCCTCACGTCCTTAGCCAAGGTAGGTCACCAGTACTTTCCGGTCAGGCAGCGCACTATATGACCGATACCTGGGTGACCAGAGGAGGGTGACGTGTGTGCCCAATAGATCAGACGGTCACGGACAAGAGACGGCACGTACTGCAGCCCAGCTGGACACTGAGGTGGTGATGGCTTTGTGCGTAACGCCCGCTCTATGTCCGCATCCATCGCCCATACTACCGGTGCCACAATACAGGAGGCAGGGAGTATGGGGGTGTTGTCTATGGGCCTCTCCTCTGTGTCGTACAGCCGTGACAGTGCGTCTGCCTTCATGTTCTTCGTACCCGGAATGTATGATAGAGTAAAATCAAACCGGGTGAAGAATAGGGCCCACCTAGCCTGGCGAGGGTTCAGCCTCCTCGCTGCCCGGATGTACTCCAGGTTACAGTGGTCCGTCCAGACGTGGAAAGGATGTTTCGCCCCCTTGAGCCAGTGCCTCCACACAGTCAGGGCTCGGACAACAGCCAACAGCTCCCGATCACCAACGTCGTAGTTCTGCTCTGTCGGGCTGAGCTTCTTGGAGAAGAAGGCACAGGGGCGGAGCTTGGGTGGCATGCCCAAGCGTTGAGATAGGACAGGGCCTATCCCTACCTCGGACGCATCCACCTCGACTACGAACGGTAGTGATGGGATGGGCCAGTACCGGGGCAGGTTACTGAAGGCCCTGTCAGCCTCAGCAGACCAGCGGAGCCGGGACAGCCCACCCTTCAACAGAGATGTGATGGGAGCTGCGACTTTGCCAAAGCCCCGGAAAAACCTCAGATTGTAGTTGGAAAATCCAATAAAGCGCTGCACCTCCTTAACCGTGGTTGGAGTTGGCCAATTACGCATGGCTGAAATGCGATCTCCCTCCATTTCCACACCTGAGGTGGTAATGCGGTATTCCGAGGAAGGTGACGGACTGTTGGAAAAACAGACACTTTTCTGCCTTGGCATAAAGGTCATGTTCCAACAGTCGGGCCAGCACTTTGCGAATCAGGGACACATGCTCGGCGCACGTAGCGGAATACACCAGAACGTCATTGATGTAGACCACTACACCGCGACCAAGCATGTCCCGAAACACCTCGTTCACAAAGGACTGGAAGACTGATGGAGCATTCATCAAACCGTAGGGCATCACCAGGTATTCATAATGCCCCGTGGTTGTGCTGAATGCTGTCTTCCACTCGTCCCCCTCTCGGACACGCACCAGGTTGTACGCACTCCGGAGATCTAATTTGGGAAGAAGCGCGCCCCATGCATTGACTCGATCACAGATGGAATGACGGGTAGAGGATAACTATATTGTATTGTCCCCTTGTTCAGTGCTTGGTAATCAATGCAAGGGCGCAGACCTCCGTTTTTCTTCTTCACAAAAAACTTGAGGAGGCGGGCGAAATGGAGGGACGTATGAACCCCTGACGCAGGGACTCGGAGATGTATTTCTCCATCGCCTCAGTTTCAGCATGCGACAGGGGTTACTACAAGGTAGTGTCTGGACTTTCCACCGTGGTTGCACCAACAGAAACACCTAGACACCTACCCTGACACTCTCGCGACCACCCCGTGAGAACCATCTGTGGCCATAAAAAGGTGGGGTTGTGTAGTGCTAACCAGGGAAGACCTAACACAACAGGGAAATCAGGAGACTTAATAATAAAAAAGGTGACTTGCTCACTATGGGTCTCATGTGTAACCATAGTGACTGTTGCTGTAACTTCCCTAACGAACCCGGACCCTAGTGGTCGACTGTCAAGTTCTCTGATGGGGAGTGGAATGGATAGGGGAACCAATGTAATGCCTAGACTATGTGCAAATGACATGTCCATAAAGTTCAGAGCTGCGCCTGAATTGACCAGCGCCTTACACTGGGGAACTACTGTGTAGTCAGGAAAGTGGATGGGTAGGGTACAGTGCGCAGCAGAGGCCTCTGAACGAGTGTGGGTGTTCGATACCTGGGGTGACACGAGAGTGCCCTGTCTGCCACCTCCAGACCCAAAAGAACGCCAACGACAGCGTGCAGGAGAATGTCCTCTCGTTCCACTAGAGTGACACTGGCGCTGTCATCCTCTGCTCTCCCAGATCGCTGCTCCATCCAGTTCCATCAGCTCGTGATCCGGGTTAGGGGGGGATGGAACGGGCAGGCTCCTTCCAGGACGTCCTCTAGCATCCAGCAGGTTGTCCAACCAGATGGCCATGTCCACCAGTTGATTGAAGGACAACATGGTGTCCCGGCAGGCTAGCTCCCTTCGGACGTCCTCGGAAGTGGTCGATGAGGGCCCGCTCGTTCCACCCGGACCCAGCCGTTAGAGTCCGAAACTCCAGGTCGAAGTCCTGCGCGGTCCTCGTTCCCTGCCTCAGGTGGACCAGCCGCTCGCCCCCCTCTCTACCTTCGGGTGGATGGGGCCGGGCTGATGTTCGAATAATATAGCTCCAGTTGTAGGAGGAATTCCTGGCAGAGAGCAGCTGTCCCGTCAAAATCCTATGGTTGGGATATCTGGATCCCTCTGGGTGCTGGGATGTGGGTGGCTGGATCCGGTCGCTCATCTGGTCCTGACAGATCGGGTCCTATCCTCTCCAAGCGTTGGACGACCTGGAGAACCCGATCCATCGCTTCTCCCAAGCTGGCTAGCATCGTTGAATGCTCCCGGACCCATGCCACGACTCCAGACATGTGCTCCTCTCCTGCTGACTACATGGCGGGTGTGTGATTCTGTGATGGGTGATTTGAAAGAGTCAGGCGCAAGAGGGTAAATCACAGAATAACAGGATTTATTCCGGAATACAGAGTACGCAGAAAATAACCCGGGGAATACAAAATACAAGGAGCTCCACCGAGCTTCACTATCCTCACAATAAACAATCACACACAAAGACAAGGGGGCAGAGGGAACACCTATACAGGTACTGATGAGGGGATATGAACCAGGTGTGTGTAATCAACAAGACAAAACAAATGGAATGATGAGTTGAGGAGCGGCAGTGGCTAGAAGGCCGGTGATGACAAACGCCGAAGCCTGCCCGAACAAGGAGAGGAGGCAGCCTCGGAGGAAGTTGTGACAGCAGTCTTTAACATCACGCTGATTGTTCTTTGATGGCTCAGCAGTTTCATGTCCTGAGTAAAAAATAAATAGTGTTAACTGTCCATTTAGGGTATACTTCCTCCATTATTCATATATCTATTCATCTGTGTTTGGCTATAATATTTCACTATTCTCTGGCGCCTGAGACACCGGTCTCAAGAGGTCATTTTCCTGCTTCCTTTGTCACCTGTAAGTGTGTAAGTGTATTGATGCATGTGTACATTGGGTACAGTGTGTGTGTACAGGTGTGTACACTAATGAGCGAGTGATCCGTAAATGTGTGACCACCAGAACAGTGTCAAATCATATTGGACGTAGAAACAGAGGCTTTGGCATTCCCATTGAAGTAAGGTATGGCGAGTAGGTGTTAAAACATGGTTCCCTTCAAAACATGAGAAGATAAGAGTATCAATCTGGTGGATAGAAAGCTTTTTACACTGGCTAAATAGTAAAATAGACAAATCATGTACACTACAGTGTAGAAAGTAAACCAACGTTTATATTATACTGTATAGTGTGTATAAAATATGACATGATCCTTATGGAGGCAATACACCATCCATTCATAAAGAACCAGTGGAGGGTTAAAGAGTTCGTTGAGTATGTTAGTGACTGACTCATTGAGTCCACAGCTGCTACAAAAACACTGGTTACTGTGGTGAAAGAGCTTTCTCAGTAAAACCTACAAAATACTGGCACTCTTTTTACTGGGAAACTATGCGAAATGTGTTTCTTTTTGCGAGTCTCTTTGAAAGCTTTTTCATTTGATCTTATCTAATTTAATGTATCGTGATCAACCCTCCCATGTAACTATCAATATTCTGTTAAGTTTGAGCATAATTTATGATAATCACTCTATAAGTATTATCATTATTATGATTATGTTTTTGATGTTGTTACGACTGTCTGTCACAATCGTTGTAAGAGGCAGACCAAGGCGCAGCGTGATAGGCGTACATCCTTTAATGAGTACTTTACACCAACAATAAAACAACAAAACGATACGTGAAGTCTAAAGGTTCACCAACACAAACCTATACAGAACAAGATCCCACAATCAACTGTGCAAAACAGGCTGCCTAAGTATGGTTCCCAATCAGAGACAACGAGCTACAGCTGCCTCTGATTGGGACCCACCCTGGCCAACATAGATCTAAACGATCTAGAATAAACACATAGAACAACTAAACATAGGAACTAACACCCTGGCTCAACATTAAAGAGTCCCCAGAGCCAGGGCGTGACAGTACCCCCCCCCCCCCCCCCCCCCCCAAAGGCGCGGACTGCGACCGCGCCAACCAAACACCACAGGGGAGGGGCCGGGTAGGCATTCCGCCTCGGAGGCGGATCCGGCTCCGGGCGTGACCACCACTCTCTCTCTCGCCCTCGTGGTCTGGCCCTGCTGGCCGGAGCTGGACTGAACACCGGTGGAGCGGATTGCTCTGGCTCCGGCGTGGAGCAGCTGACCGGTGCCGACCAGGCACAGGTGGAACAGGAACGGGCCGGACCGGGCTGACGACGCGCACCACTGGCTTGGTGCGGGGAGCGGGGAGCAGGAACAGGCCGAACTGTGCTGGCGACGCGCACCACTGGCTTGGTGCGGGGAGCAGGAACAGGCCGGACCGGGCTGGCGACGCGCACCACAGGCTTGGTGCGGGGAGCAGGAACGGGCCGGACCGGGCTGACGACGCGCACCACTGGCTTGGTGCGGGGAGCAGGAACAGGCCGGACCGGGCTGGCGACGCGCACCACAGGCTTGGTGCGAGGAGCAGGAACAGGCCGGCCCGGGCTGGGGACGCGCACCACTGGCTTGGTGCGGGGAGCAGGAACGGGCCGGGCCGGGCTGGCGACGCACACCACAGGCTTGGTGCGGGGAGCAGGAACAGGCCGGACCGGGCTGGCGACGCGCACCACTGGCTTGGTGCGGGGATTAGGAACGGGTTGGGCCGTACTGGGAACACGCACCACTAACTTAGTGCGGGGAGCGGGAACGGGTCGGGCCGGACTGGGAACACGCACCACTAACTTAGTGCGGGGAGCGGGAACGGGTCGGGCCGGACTGGGAACACACACCACTAACTTAGTGCGGGGAGCAGGAACGGGTTGGGCCGTACTGGGAACACGCACCACTAACTTAGTGCGGGGAGCAGGAATGGGCCTGACCGTACTGGGAACACACACCACTGGCCTTGTGCGGGAATCAGGAACGGGCCGGACCGGACTGGTGACACACACCACTTGCTTGGTGCGAGGAGCGGGACTAGGTTTCCTCATAAACCTCCGCTCCCTCTGCTGCCTACTCAGTTCCTCTCTCCGTGCCTCCACACTCTCCTTCTCCCTCCTGACCAATGGCCCCCTTAACCTGGTGGCCTCCTCTCCTAGTCCACAAACTCGCCCTGTAGCTGCCTCCAGCAGCCCCGTCGTCCATGCCGTGTGCCCCCCCAAAAAAATGTCTTGGGGTTGCCTCTCGCCTGTCCGACGACGACACTGTTGGCGCGGTACCTCCTCTCTCGCTTTAACTTTAGCCCATGGCCCTTTGCCCGCGAACATGTCCTCCCAGGACCACCATTGGCCCACCTGGGCCATCGCCAACCTCTCCAGCTCCTTACCCGGCGTTTGCTCCTGCACACGCTGCTTGGTCCTTGTATGGTGGGATCTTCTGTCACGATATTCGTCATCAGTGGACCAAGGCACAGCGTGATAGGCGTACATCTTTTAATGAGTACTTTACACCAACAATAAAACAACAAAACGATACGTGAAGTCTAAAGGTTCACCAACACAAACCTATACAGAACAAGATCCCACAATCAACTGTGCAAAACAGGCTGCCTAAGTACTCAACATTAAAGAGTCCCCAGAGCCAGGGCGTGACACTGTCATTATCACTTCAATGGCTTTATGTGCTGAGGGTGTGAGTGCCCCTCTGCTCCTATCAAAGTGGTTTTGGCAGCACCTATCTGAGCAGGTGTGAGTTGATGTGCGTGAGCAGTGAGCACACTGTCATTTACTGACACTGTTACACAAGGACAACCCACTCCTCTGTATGCCTATTCCCAGCCACGCTACATTAATTAGCCTATATGGTCAACAACGTCCCTGAACCTTTGACTTTTGGGAAGTGAGGGTGTGTAAATATAATGTGTACATCACTTCATAATGAATAGGTCAACCACAAATAATGAATGCTTTACAAATATTGAGTCCAGGGCATGTTGTAGGGCGGATAAGAGGGGAAAAACATTTTCTCTCTCTCTCCTTTGTCTCGTTCTCGTGCCCAGCTTCTCTCATCGTGGCCCGGCAGGGAGAAAGGAGAGCCGTGAGGAAGTGAGATCGCCACTGACAGGAAGTGTCTGTTCGAGGAAGATCCTCGGATAGGCCGCTGGAGCCTGAGGGACGACAGCTCCGCTCCTCGAGAAGCCTTTGATCAATGAGCCTGTCGGCGATGACAACGGGACACCTGCGCTCCATCAAAAGGGGTTGCCCCTAGTAACAACTGTGTGGACAGCCACCAATCAGCAGAGATTAGGTCTGGCTCTCTGTCCTATCAGGCTGTTTAGGAAATTGAGACACTGACAGGATATCTAGGCTGGAGATTCTACTGTATGTGAACTGGAAGTTAGAAAGATTAAATCAAATTAGGTTTTGAAATAGAATCAGTATGGAGATATACGTGCATGTAACCTACAAATACTCTAACTGTTTCCTCATTATAAGAGTTTAAGTGCTTAATTAGGTATATGCCATATGGGAATAGGCATGGCACTTTACAAAATATCTATAGATTGAAAACAATTTAAAAGTGTTGGCTTACAGTATATAATGCTACAGTAAAAAATGAAACTGAAAACACCTAAATAATCATGTTCTTTGAGAAAATGTATCTTTATAAAATGAAATAATGAATGAGTCAACCTGATGAAGCATACTATTCTGGAGCAGTCAACATTTAACTTTGCCCTTATCAAGGGTTTAACAAAACAGGACATGTAGCAAAGGTCAATTTGTAAACAGTGCCTGACTTTGGTCCAGTAGCAGGTGGAGAAAAGCCAGTCCCATGCAATGTCGCTAACATTCTGAGGGGACATTCTCATAATAGGGCGAGAGCTGTTTGTGTTTCCCGACCATATAGGCTATAAATAGGCCCACTTGCGCACACACACACACACACACACACACACACACACACACACACACACACACACACACACACACACACACACACACACACACACACACACACACACACACACACACACACACACACACAGTCTGCACTAAGAGGCTCTGTCAGAGACGAAGAAGAGACACTTGTATCAGAGAAGCTGAGTTCAGGAGTGGCAGGGGTCCTGAAAGCAATATCCCGATAGGTCACCTCCACCATTACCACTCTGTCTCCTCTACATAGCCAGCCCTGTGAATCTTTGAACACTGTGGGTAAGTCAAAATAACATACAGATGCGGTCAAATATTTTGGCAACCAAGCAATTTACAATGCAGTGCAATGGAGCAGAATGTTCTGTTTTCTCTTTTCAAAACTAGTTGAATGGCTATTTTAACCCTGTAGGCACCTGAAACTTACCACAGATAAATTACCAGTAAACGAGAATCACTTGCCTCCAATCACATTCATATGAAATTTGAATAATTTAGTCGAGGCCATTTTTTACTTTGAAGTGAAAGATCTCAATTTCAGTTAAGATTTTCTTGGTGCTGTACAGTTGTAAATCAAACAAATACACATGTGAACACCAAAATGTATTTTTAGAAAAAGTAGTGAATTGTGCAAGGGTGCCAATATATTGGTCGCATCTGTATCAACTGTGTGTGTGAGAGAGGGGGAGGACAGAAAGAGAGAGAGAGGGGGGGGGGGGGGGGGGGGGGGGGGGGGGGGGGGAGCAAAAGGAAAAAGAGGGATGTGGATAACTCAGTTTCTGAGGGAGTCTAATCTACCATGTTTGTAGGATTGGTGGTGAATTGAGAGGACAGTCTTTGCCCCTCATGCATTTACAGATCTCCTGACCCGTTAGTAAACACTTGGGTTTGGGAGTCTGCCCTAACATAGTCCGACATTTTATTCTCAGAATGACTTCCTTTGCAATGGCTTGGTTCAAATGACTATTTTACACACAATAATCATGACATCCCAATAATCTGAGTGTGGCACAGCATTCCATAGGACCATCTGTCTGTTGGGTGGAGAGAGAGAGGGGTAAACACTACAGGGTGTTGCCATGTTGCATGTACAGAAGCAGTCATGTACTCTCTTCGCAAATAACCCTACCAATGTTTTGATTTTGTTATACAGAATTGTCATTGTAATTTACAATGTAAGAGTTGTAAATCTGGTGTTGAATGAGAGGAACCTAATTGAGCATTTGATTTACACTGGGGCAGCAGGTGTGTTCTCTCTCTCTCATTATGTTCAATGACCATTGAATTCTCAGTAGAAGCCAAAACCCAGAGGACAACATCCACTGTTGCAGGAGATAACCCTGGCTTCCCCACAGGACAGAGTAAATGCCTACAGTGTAGAGTGAGGGAAAAAACTATTTCATCCCCTGCTGAATTTGTAAATTTGCCCACTGACAAAGACATGATCAGTCTATAATTTTAATGGTAGGTTTATTTGAACAGTGAGAGACAGAATAACAACAACAAAAATCCAGAAAAATGCATGTAAAAAATGTTATAAATTGATTTGCATATTAATGAGGGAAATAAGTATTTGACCCCTCTGCAAAACATGACTTAGTACTTGGTGGCAAAACCCTTGTTGGCAATCACAGAGGTCAGACGTTTCTTGTAGTTGGCCACCAGGTTTGCACACATCTCAGGAGGGATTTTGTCCCACTCCTCTTTGCAGATCTTCTCCAAGTCATTAAGATTTCGAGGCTGACGTTTGGCAACTCGAACCTTCAGCTCCCTCCACAGATTTTCTATGGGATTAAGGTCTGGAGACTGGCTAGGCCACTCCAGGACCTTAATGTGCTTCTTCTTGAGCCACTCCTTTGTTGCCTTGGCCGTGTGTTTTGGGTCATTGTCATGCTGGAATACCCATCCACGACCCATTTTCAATGCCCTGGCTGAGGGAAGGAGGTTCTCACCCAAGATTTGACGGTACATGGCACCGTCCATCGTCCCTTTGATGCGGTGAAGTTGTCCTGTCTCCTTAGCAGAAAAACACCCCCAAAGCATAATGTTTCCACCTCCATGTTTGATGGTGGGGATGGTGTTCTTGGGGTCATTGGCAGCATTCCTCCTCCTCCAAACACGGCGAGTTGAGATGATGCCAAAGAGCTCGATTTTGGTCTCATCTGACCACAACACTCAGATGTTCATTGGCAAACTTCAGACGCGCCTGTATATGTGCTTTCTTGAGCAGGGGGACCTTGCGGGTGCTGCAGGATTTCAGTCCTTCACGGCGTAGTGTGTTACCAATTGTTTTCTTGGTGACTATGGTCCCAGCTGCCTTGAGATCATTGACAAGATCCTCCCGTGTAGTTCTGGGCTGATCCCTCACCGTTCTCATGATCATTGCAACTCCACGAGGTGAGATCTTGCATGGAGCCCCAGGCCAAGGGAGATTGACAGTTATTTTGTGTTTCTTCCATTTGCGAATAATCGCACCAACTGTTGTCACCTTCTCACCAAGCTGCTTGGCGATGGTCTTGTAGTCCATTCCAGCCTTGTGTAGGTCTACAATCTTGTCCTTGACATCCTTGGAGAGCTCTTTGGTCTTGGCCATGGTGGAGAGTTTGGAATCTGATTGATTGATTGCTTCTGTGGACAGGTGTCTTTTATACAGGTAACAAACTGAGATTAGGAGCACTCCCTTTAAGAGTGTGCTCCTAATCTCAGCTCGTTACCTGTATAAAAGACACCTGGGAGCCAGAAATCTTTCTGATTGAGAGGGGGTCAAATACTTATTTCCTTCATTAAAATGCAAATCAATTTATAACATTTTTGACATGCGTTTTTCTGGATTTTTGTTGTTGTTATTCTGTCTCTCACTGTTCAAATAAACCTACCATTAAAATTATAGACTGATCATTTCTTTGTCAGTGGGAAAATGTACAAAATCAGCAGGGGATCAAATACTTTTTTCCCTCAGGGCTGGGCGATATGGCCAAAATGTCATATCACTGTATTTTTCAAATTTTTGACGATATTTTACGCTATTTGCTGTGCTATTGCCTTTAGGATGTAGGACTGAGGAGCTGTGGTAATGTAATCTCTATTAATGTCTTTCCTCCAACCATATGGCATTTCTGGTCCTAACATTGATTACGTAAACCAGGAAGAATCCAGTGAGCTCTAAAAGGATTGGGACATTGACAAATGTTTTGTTGTTTTGGCTCTGTACTCCAGCACTTTGGATTTGAAATGATACAATGACTATGAGTATAAAGTGCAGACTAGCAGCTTTAATTTGATTGTATTGTCATCCATATCGGGTGAACCGTTTAGAAATTACTGCACTTTTGTACGTCGTCCCCCCATTTTAGGGGACCAAAAGTATTGGAACAAATTCACTTCTATGTGTATTAAAGGAGTCAAAAGTGGTCCCATATTTGGTCCCATATTCCTAGCACGCAATGATTACATCAAGCTTGTGACTCTACACACTTTTTGGATGCATTTGCTGTTTGTTTTGGTTGTGTTTCAGATTATTTAGAGCCCAATGCAAAGTAATGGAAAATAATATATCATGTAATTTTGGAGTCACTTTTATTATATATAAGAGTAGAATATGTTTCTAAACACTTCTACATTAATGTGGATGGTTCCATGATTATGGATAGTCCTGAATGAATCACTTTAGTAATTGTAGGCCGTCATTGTAAATAAGAATTTGTTCTTAACTGACTTGCCTAGTTAAATAAAGGTAAAATAAATAAAATAAAAAAAATAACAATAATGTTTACATAATGTTTACATGCTGCTGTATTTAGTCAATGCCACTCCGACATTGCTAGTCCTAATATTTATATATTTCTTAATTCCATTCTTTTATTTTAGATTTGCGTGTATTGTTGTGAATTGTTAGATACTACTGCACTGTTGGGGGGGGGGGGGGGGGGGGTCTACGCCTGTAACTTTCTCACTCATCGTTATTCACGATTCATTCAGATTTATCCAGAATTATGTAGAAGTGTTTAGAAACATATTCTATTCTTATTTACAATAAAAGTGACTTCAAAATGATTTACCATTCATTACTATTGGGCACAAAATAATCTGAAATTACCCTCAAATTAAAGCTGACAGTCTGCACTTTAACCTCATAGTCATTGTATCATATCAAAGTGCTGGAGTACAGAGCCAACACAACAACAGCAACAAAAATCACTGTCCCAATACTTTTGGAGCTCACTGTTGGTTATTAATATATGAGTTGCCTATGAACTATATACAGTGCCTTGCAAAAGTATTATTACATTTACATTTAAATCATTTAGCAGACGCTC